ATGAAAGAGAAGGATGAAATGGATAGAATGACTGCCAGAGAGAAAAAACGTAAAAAATTAAAATAATAGCACCAACGTGCCACACATGACATATTATTTAATATAAATAAATATATATTTGAATGGTATTTGATTGGAATTTGATCCTGAGATACATCAGACCAATCTGCTATTGATAGAAACTCTAAAAACTGGGCGCACTTTATATTTTACAAACCTTTGGCGTTTTTTTTTTATGTATCTAAAATTAATACGACGTTTTTTTACTATACTTTTTTAATAAATTCATAATTTGATATACATATAGACAATATTGTGATTTTTCTTTTTTAAAAAAGTCATTTTATTAAATATTTTTATTAATATTACTTCTTGATATATTACATGAAAATATAAATTATAAAAAATAAAAATATATAAAAAATCGAGATACTTAGCTTCAGAGATTAAATCTCTTACTAGTCCCAACCACCACGTAGAGGTGTATCTCGTTGGTTGGGAAGGCGAACCCCAACCCATCTCTCGCTGGTACTCAGTTCCCAGTCAAGCGGGTTGTTCTTAGCTTTGACTCAATTTATTCTCTAGAGTTCGAGAAAATAAATAAAAAACACTTTACACCCACCAAAAAAAAACATGAAAACACCATCGAATCCATCAAACCCACTATCGAATCCACCAAGACCACCATAAAAACCACCATCAAAACCACTGTTGAAACCACCATCAAAATCACCATCGAAAACACCGTCGACAACACTAACGAAACCATCGTGACCACCATCAAAACAATCATTGAAACACCATTGAAAACACCATCGAAAAAAAGTCTATAAAACGATGTATAAAATATAACTATAACAATAAAAAAGTAAAAGCGACATTAAAAGCGATAAAATTTAATAATGTGAGTAAAATTCATAAGAAATATAACTATAACAATAAGAAGAGATGTGAAAACGATATAAAAGCAATAAAATTTAATAATGTGAGTAAAATTTATAAGAAAAAAAAAGTCATTATATGACTGATTCTTCAAACGCGTATTGTGATTGTTATCGTTATCTATATCCTTAATTGGAAATAGAGCATTCGTATAAAATGTAAGTATTTAATCTTTTTAAAAAACCGGTTTTGGTTCTGGAGTTGGTTTCTGAACCACATGCTTCCGAACTAGATACATACTGTACATGCGTGTATTATGACTCGCGCAATTTACAATTTACTCACTCGAGGAAAAGTCAAGAAAACATAGTTATTGTATAGGTATGTAATGAATAACCCAGTTACACACGGGTTCATATTCCGTGCCAAAGGCACGGGATTAAATATGAGCGAATTTGATAATCGTCATAATTGAATAAAAATTTTTTCTACCTTTTTATATGCGTTAAAGTAACTAAATCATTAAAAAACAAAGTAGCAAGAAAAGCTCTCAAAGACCTACATTTTATTAAAAATAATCAAAAATAATCAGAATATTCAAGGTTATTTTAGAAATAAATTTTATAAAAGATCGAGGATATCTTATGATCCAGTAGATAAGATTTAATAATTTTTATATCATTGGATTCGTCTCATTGAGATGAATCAATGGTTCGTGATATATTCTTGATCTAGTTAAGACTGATTAAAAATCGTGCATGTGATTGAAAATTTCATACTTTTATTGGACAGAGTCAACGAGGGGCTTAGAAATGATTTTTTGATTTGTTGATTGTTGAACAAGGGTTTCACTATAAAGAGCTGGGAGTTTAAGTGATTTATAAATATCAAGATGGGTGTAACTTATATCAGAATAAATCCTTGTAGATTTAGAAGCAGCATAAATTGATTCTAAGTACGAAACAGAGTTTTTTAAATCCTCTTATAGTTAGTTAAGTCTAATGTTCCGGCCCAAGTAGGAATTACCTGGTCACACGTGGGCAAGGACCCGAAAAAAGATTAGCTATGAGGGATAGATCAATTTGTTCGGCTTTGTTTGTAGCAGCAATAATAGTAATGCCAGGAAACTTCTGTTTTTCAATACCATACATAATTGTATTTCATTCCGTACACTTTTCAAATTTCTCTGGGGTGTCAATTTTTATTGGATTTCGTATTTTAACCCAATTTTTTTCTAGGATATACGTGTTAAGTAGCCAATTAAATTGTATATATATATATACTATATATATTAATTCATCGTTTTACAACTAAATATGCTACATGAAATTTTTAACCACCGTGATCAGTGATGCAATTGGTTTCGTCCAATGGGAAATTAGTAACCCGGCTACGCATATGAATTTACCAAAACAGGTTAGGATACTAACTCACGTCAGATCTTTTGATTTTATCAAAAAAACAAATAGACTACAATTAGAGCTGGGATCCGTTGAATATCCATTATGACTATTCAATGAATATTCACGGGTTTTTGCCATACACGAATGATATTGAATGAGTATTCAAATTTTATATGGATGTTCACGTAATAATAAAATCTTAGATTATTCATCTCGAATATTCACGAATTCCGTGTAAAAAACTAATAATACTCTAATCCTTAACTATTCGTGAATTTTGTGTAACCAAATATTCACTTTTAATTGAATATTCTTTTTAACCGTGGATATTTACGGATCCCAGCTCTAACTACAATTTGTTATATAATGACATCATTCTGTTCGACTAGCGAGAAAATTTTTTTGAGCGGTTAGCAGCGCATCTATTCGCGCGCTGATCATAGCGCTCTGCGCTACGTACAAGGAGTATTTTTTTTTTTATGCTTTGTGTAATGAAAATTTTCCCTATATAGATCTAATTTATAAATTGATCAGCACTGAACTAATACAGTAAAGGCTATTGCACAAAACTCAACTTGGCGCTAACTAAAAAAGGCGTACATTTATTCGCGCCTGTAACACAAACCATATGAGCGTCTATCAGCTCGGGTATTTTACAAACTCCTCAGGGAGATCCCAAAATTCCGGGTCAGAAGCTTCGGAACTCTGGTCGGAAGGGCCAAAGTTGATCAAGATCGCTAAGAATTTTACTAATGAAACAATAGTCGTTCATTAAGTGAAAAATTGCCCAGCTGATAATTTTACTATACCTATAGCTCCCGCTAACCCTAACCCAGCCCTAACCCCGACCCTAACCACAACGCATTCCGGCCATTACGACCCGGAAATTTGGGGACCCCCTGTAGAAAATTATTAATTATTAAAATTATTAAAATTATTATACATAGTGATGCAAACGGCTAGCTCCGGCTCGGCTACGGCTCAATCATAATGGAGTTGAGCTGCTTTTTAGCCGAGCCGTTTTTTAGCCAAGCTGGCAAGAGCCGCGGCTCCAATTTGATTACTATTATTATAAAAAAAAATTTATTTGACGGAAATTTATTAGCAAGCATTTAGAACATAGTTATGATTAAAATTTTTTTTTGAAAAAATATTTTTGAAAGAAAAACATTTTTTTTAAAAAAAAAGCTTTAAAAAAATATTTTTTTGAAAAAAAAATTATCAGGGCTGGGATGGTCATTTTACGATTATTGTAAGAGTACGATTATTGTAAAGTACGATTATTGTAAGAGTAAGAAAAAAAAAAGAAAGAGGAATATTATGATATTACGATTATCGTTATAGTTTCCTATAGTTTATTATTAATTAACATTATTGTCCTTATGAATCTTACGATATCGGTATAGATTATTAATAATTACGACATCGGCTCTGACGGCTCCATGTAACACAAGCTGAGCCGTTGGTTAGTTGAGCTGTTAGTTAGCTGAGCCGAAAAATTAGCTCGGCTAAGCCGATCGGCTCGCGGCTTTGCGGAGCCGTTTTGCATCACTAATTTACATTCCCAAGTGCAATTAATCCGTCTTTAGTACCCAGGGTAGTTTACATTCTAGGCCTCTGAAAATCGAGAGTGGTATTATAAAAGGGATCTTTTAGTCCACGCTTGTACGGTACTAATTAAAAAAAAGCATTTTTTTTTAGTACCACTTACTATTAGCCTTAAATCTCTAATTTCTTCTTTGGCGCGCAAATAAAAGAATCCTAGAGTCTAGCAGAGTTTACTAGCACAGAAAAATACTTATCTGCCTTAACAAAAGCGCTTTGTAGAGGTCCGCTTAAGTGAATTAAACGCTTGTTGATCGTGTTTAGCGTTCACACAAAAAATTGTTCATTTGGCCAATCAAATTTAAGATCA